ATGCTCCAAGGTGCGTGAGGATGAAAAATTCTAGCCAGCTAGTCCACACCTACCGGAAGCGAGAGGTGATAGCCGGGGATGATAGGGGGGAGGTGAAGGGCCACTCATCTTAAAGTGGCCAAGTTTGGACAACACTGGGTTAAGGAAAGGAAATTTGAGGATCGTGCTGGACATTGCAGGACACAGCATGGGCATTCTAAAAGTGGGTGTGGACAAATTTGGGGAGAGTTTTTCTGTCTTTAAGAGATGAAATGATGCATTGGAGTTTCTGCAGAACTTAAACTGGACATGTTGTCCTTCAACCCTTTCCTCCATTAGACCTTCCTGTCCACCCTAGGGGGCCTGGTGGCTCTGAAATGACTCCTGGTGGGCCTACTTTAATGTTGATGGTGCTGCTGATGTCTCAAAATGACACGTTGATGATGTTGGAATCCTGTTTTAACAGCAACAACTGTGTGTGACCCTGACACCCAATTCCGCTGCCATGAATCAGGGACCTGTGTCCCCCTGTCTTATAAGTGTGACCTGGAGGATGATTGTGGAGACAGTAGCGATGAGAACCACTGTGGTAAGCTCAGCAGAAGTGCCATAGATCTCTGGGCCTTTTGACACATCCCAAATGTCTCTGTTGACATGGATACAGAAGGACAGATGCATGCAGGTCTCAGGCGTTGCACCTATCTTGCTGGGGGAATATAGTCTGGCACTTGATACCCCATAGAAAACAAGCAAGAAGGACCTTGTGTGAAAAGAGGCACGTTTGTAAACTCAGGATGTGACTCCTGCCATGGTGGATTTTATGTGTGCTACTAGATTTTGTGATACATCACTTGGGTGGAGGCCAAACATCTGGGTGAGGAGGAGGGCTTGTGCAAGGGGGAGAAGTAAAGGAGGGCTTCAACTAATCCTGCAGAAAAACCCACCTCATCTGGCTTCTTTCTTCACCAGTTGACATCACTGAGGTGTTGTCACATGTTACCTAAGCACAACTGTGTCTTTTCTGCAGAAAGGAGATTGTTCTAGAAAGTCTGTGGGAATGGGATGGGTTAGGAGAGACCCAAGAGAAAATTATTGGGTCCCTCCTTCAGACTCAGCCATAATGCTTGGTTTCCAGTCAGCCTAACTGATAGATGTAGCTTGAATCTGAATTTTCCCTGCACCATTTTGTCCTGTTCCTTTCAGAAGCCCACCAGTGTCAGAACGATGAGTTCAGCTGCAATTCGGGGATGTGCATCCGCCTCTCGTGGAAATGTGACGGTGACAATGACTGCCGGGATTGGTCAGATGAAGCAAACTGCACTGGTGAGGGCCCTTTCTTCCTCTCTCTCTCAACGAAAGGATGAAGCCCTTGGTAGCGATTGCTGTTCAGTAGATATCATCTGTTGCAATGTTTACCGCTTCTTTAGAATTTGTTTTATCATATGGAGTGCATCTAGTATTATAATACGTGGTACGTCTAATTTTATAATATGCCATGCTTCTAATTTTATAATATGTGGGACATCTAGTTTTATAATACGAGGCTATGTATTTGTGGCGCCTCAGCTGTTGAAGATACCGCACACATCTTATTTGATTGCAAATTATACTCGGTAGAAAGGACTGACTACTTAGATATATATTTAAAAAATAAAAAATACTGGAGCAGCCAACAGAAACTTTTCTACTTTTTACAGGGCAAGAGCATGCGTATTACCAGTAAGACTGGACTTTTCATATCAAAGGCAATTACAAAGAGGACAGATTATTTAGACCAGATTGGTGTTGAGTGTAGGGGTGACGGTTTGATATGAACTCGTATCACAGTTTTACTTATATTTACTCATTCTTAGCTGTATGTTTACAATGGCTTTTTATTTTATTTCCTTTATACTTGATATGGTCAATAGACTAGATTGATAAAGTTGATTGATTGATTGATTGATTGATTATATGAGGCACAACGATGGGCTTTCCTCCTGTGTTGTGATCAACTGGATAATAGTACTTCAGAACATCAAAAATGACACCCTGGCTTGGTTTATATATTTATTGGGTCTAGTCCTCCCTTAGGGACGAAAAGTGACTAGGAGATTTGGGGCTGGTTGCTCTCTTGCTCAGCCCAAACCACCCCACAGGGTTGCTGTTGGGGGAAATAGGAGGTGGGAGCATCATGTATGCTGCCTTGCACAAAATAAAGATGGGATATAAATCTAATTATACATAAAATTAAATACAATAAAAACAAGCCATCATGAGGGGGCTTGAGTTTAGCTAAGCTTGTGGAAACCTAACCTTTGGGATTGGTAACCCCAGAGTCAGTGGTGTTGTGTGAATCCAGCTGCTAGGATGTGTAAACTATGGTTTGTAGCTTAGCCCAGCCAGTTGTAGCTTATTCAACAGGCAGCTGTTTAACCATGATTTAGTCCAATATGTGAACTGGGTCATTAAGAGGAGATGCTGTTCATAAAGAAGGATGTTAAGGGGATAAGACAAACCAGGATAACATCTAGGGCAGTGTTGTCCAAACTTGGCCACTTTAAGATGTGTGGACTTCAATTCCCAGAATTCCCCAGCCAGCCATGC